TTCAAGAGAAACTATATATCCATTCGACAAATTGTTTTCTTGAACCAAATTCAATATTCGGAAAGTTTCTGAAATTTCACATAAATAGAATAAAGAATAAACAAAACTAGGAAACTAGTCGATTCCTAGCATAGACCTTTAGTCTTGAATCCCCGTTAGCTGATGGAAAACTATTTCGGATTGCTAATCATTCTAAGTTCGATTTATCCAGCTGATATTTCAAACACGAAGAATCAGGCTTCACGTATATAATGAATTCGAGGTAGGCATAGACGAGGCGAAATGATCGCCATCTATAGGCGAAAATTCAAGTTGATGTAGAATGAACAAAATATTTCATTGATATTATATATTTCGTTGCTCTATTATTCAAGCAAATGATCCGTTCGAAACGAGTTCATTGCTACATCGGAATAAGAAAACTTGTATGTTGTTTCAAAAATATATTCTCATCAAAATGATCATTGTTTGATCAAATCGACGAAATGTTTATAGTTGAATCAACATCGACATTGTTCTGGATCGCCATAATTTGTTTTTGAAGAAACCATATATTTTGTTGATGGAATTGATATTATACTGTTGATTCAATTGGACTACATTCTTGATTCGAACAAGCTGCTTCCATGGAATAATCATGTATCTGGTTGATTCAACAAAAAATCGCTCAGTCCAACAAAAATAACTCAAACATAAATAATTTGTTGATGCAACAAATCCTTTTTTTCCGTGTCTGAGTAGGTATACCGGGTGACACAGGTTATCGGGCCACCCCTGTAACTTCTGCATTCGTCAACGGATTTTTCTGAAATTCTGTACAGTTATATGAGCAACTATTTCGGATTTGATCACATTACAATCCAATATGGCGGACTTCCGGTTTTTCTGGAAATGCCAGCAATTTTGTTTTTTCAAATGGAACACCCTGTATATTTTTACATATTCAAGTTCAACAGGTCAAAACAAGTGCAATCTTGATGTCAAATGTCATTTATTCCACAGCCTACCTAGTTGAAAAATTATTCTAACTGCAAGGAAATTCATAAACTAGTTGTTGATTTTTGAATGAATACAATTTGTTACTGCACCGAAGAAACAAAAATGATATGTCATTTTGTTCCTTAATGTATGGTCTAGAGAGACGGGTAGGTGGCCCATAGGGGTTCCATTTGAAAAAAAATAATTTTTGATCAAAAAGTGATGTGGCTGAATTGATTCCTGGATAAGTGACACAAAAAATAATTTTTCAGAAAAAATTATGTTCTACTGTTATGTGTGAGTCATTGTAAATAGTCTCGACCACATCTCATTTATCCACGAGGTGAAATGAAAAAACAATTTTAATTTAAATTTCTTCGAGAAAATGACATTTGAAATGAGGATTGCACTTGTTTCGACCTGTTGAACTCGAATATGTAAAAATATACAGGGTGTTTCATTTGAAAAAACAAAGTTGCTGGTATTTCCAGAAATACCGGAAATCCGCCATATTGGATTGTAATGTGATCAAATCCGAAATGATTGCCTATATAACTGTACCGAATTTCAGAAAAATCCGTTGACGAATGCAGAAGTTACAGGGGTGGCCCGATACCCTGTGTCACCCGGTATATGGAATCATTTTTTTTTAACGCCCCCTGAATGACGCCCATGCTGGCACTAACTACTGGCTGATTCTGCACTAATAAAATTGATCGTACCTACTTTATATTCACCAATCTATTATCAGTAATTGAATCGTAGGTATGAATTAAACATGCCGGTCTGCCGGTCAAATGCGATCGTTTACTATTTACTGTGCATTTCCCAAAGAAAAAAACCTGGCGAAAACAATTTCCATTGCATTGCCTACAGGTAGGATCAACCTACCAACTCAACTGTCACCTCATCGTTTCATTTCCCTCTTGAATACTTTTAATAACCGCCGCTCGACTGTTATACTTCTGGCGCCTAATTTTACCGCCAAAACAAAAAAACTCCTCTACTAGTTCTAGCTTTAACAGCATTCGAAGAATTTGAATAAGTGGTCATTCCTAGATCCAGTCTGCAGTCTACGTTAAAGGGGTGTCGATCTAATGCTCGCCAGGGTGCATTACCCGATGCGAAGGGTGGAGGGGGCTTGCCGACTCGCCTCTCCCTCTGAGTCCCTCTTCCATATTTCTGTTTCCGACTGCGAGGGCTAGGGCGAGCACTGTCTGAGGAATCGACTATACCCGAACTCATGAAATGTCTGGCTTACAATGGAATTTCTCCGAAAGCGCGCATTTCATTGTTTGTTTTCTGTCTTGAGCAAGGGCGGTTCTCAGGTGAATTTCAATGTCATTCATACAGTTGGCATCATAATATGGGAAAATCTTTTGTTAAATTAAAGTTACATTTTTTCAAAATAATCGCACTGAAAACAGGCTTATTCGAATTACAAAAAAGTTTACGAAAAAAGTTATTCCTATTCCAATGTTGGAAACGACCCTGGTCGAATTGGCTGAAATTTTACTATGTTGTTGTGAGATGGCTCATTAGAAAATTATGTGAGTTTCAAAAGCTTTGTATGCTCAGTTTGTGAGATATAAGCCAATAAAGTTGGTGAAAACACCGTATCGTGATAGGATTGACAAAGACAACAACTGTTTTTTAGTATAAATAATCACATAAATTATAGTAAATCAGAGTGTATACGAGACACCTTCAATAAACTCATTTTTCATACAGAGATAGTTATCAAGAATCAAAATACGTTTTAATGGTCTACAATAGACTTGAACAATAATGTCTCACCAAAATTAAACTTGTTGATTTTGGAACGGTGCTTAAATTTGTTTTTCCGAAAAATGAATTTTTTCACCGTGCCTCGTATACACCCTGATTTACTATGATCATTTATGTGAATTTATTATATTTAGTTACGTATTTTTGTCTCAAAAACACGAATTTGATGATGAAAATGTGAACAAATCGCTATTTATCGAGATATTTCACGAAAGTTCTAAAGTTCACCTTCTTTTTCCGCCTGTCTTTGGATACGCATTTACTGATTCACAGCTACTTGCTCTTATTTTGTCATTGGACACACTTCATATACTCATGATCTACTTCAATGACACATTTTATACAGGATAATCAACTAGAAATATGATTTTTTGGTGAGTTTTTCATATTCACTGAACCATCATACCAGCTGACAGCCATTTAATTGTAGATGTCAAATGATTGTCAATTGAGGATACATAAAGAACTGCCCAATAAAATAAATTATATTTACGATCATGAAGCAAATAAAAAGTACTGTACTATTATGACGAGATTGAAAACAAATCATGGATGTTTTCCATATCATCTGAATAAAATAGGGGTGATAGATTCTCCCTTATGTAACATAGATAATGAAATTGCGGATCTAAATCATATAATTTTTAGCTGCAGAAAATTTCCTAGAAATGATCTCTTTGAAGATCTTGTGAAGGTCGGGGCTCAGCTACCGACAACAGTAAACGTATTGCTTACTACAAGGGACAAAAACATTTTTGACATATTGGTCAAATTCATAACAAAAAACAATATTGAAATATAAACGAAAAATCTAAATTGTGTGTGGCTGAAGGACTAATGTCCATGGCCATTAAGGTAGGAGAAAAAAAAAAAAAATGTCTGCAGATTTTGGAAGGACATAAACTTTTAGACAAATTGCTTTTGAATAACGTTGTTATACAAATTATTTCAAATATTCTTCCTTCTTCAATCTTTTTCTCCACTTTAAAGGCTGAAAGTAGTTGTGTGATATGAATTTTCAGAAAGAAAATAAGTTTTCTTGTTTAACTATCCATGGTGAAAGTGAATTCTTTTGACATGTCATTGTCCTTGATATTTGAATGGCAGCTGGTAGAAATGGCAGAATGCAGAATGGCGAATGGCCGTCCCCGTTAGCTGGTATGATTATTCACCAAATACTAAATATGGAAAAATCGCAAGAAAATCATATTTCTAGTCGTTTTTCATATTGTACTATTGAAGTACATCGTGATAAATAAGCCGATCTCACTGTGCCCAACATGAGCTTGTCAGCAGTAACCATACCTTTGAAGACATCCATTTCGATGCTTGGTATTACTATCAGCATCAGCAATAACCTTTCTTGGGAAAATCACGTGAGATCAATTTGTAAAAGTGCATCCCAAAAAAGGGCAATTCGTCTCGGGGGTGATGCCTCGCTGACAAACTCACTCACTTCTCTGGAACACCGTAGAAAAGTTGGCGATCTGGCTCTATTCTCTCCATGAAAATATCAATATTTTCATGGACGATGATCTTCGCTCTGAAATATACACAATAATTGTTCCTCTCTTGGCAGTCCCCGCGAGATCAACACGTCGAGTTGAGGCTTCGCACCGCTTCGTGGTCACTTTGGAGACCTGCAGAACATCTCTTTCCAAAGACTCGTTCATCCAACGAACAGCGAGGCTCTGGAACACATTGCCAAGGGAGGTATTCCCCGAGGCATATAACCTCCAGAAAATTAAGAAGAACACCAATTCCTACCTTATTTCCTTTGGTTCTCACGATGTTCTCTGAACATTACAGGATATCCCTTTTCGTGGGAACCAGATCATAAAAAAAAGTAGTCCATCAATGATGAAAAAAGAAGGGCAAGTAGTTCTAAAACAATCGGAAAAAGAAGATGAAATTTAGAACTTTTTCTCGATAAATAGTGGTTTGTTCACATTTTCATTATCAAATTCGTGTTTTTCGAAAAAAAAAAACTCAGACTCATAGTTCCGATCGATATATTTCCTAGCTCACTTTGTCTTATCTATACCTACAAATAAAACAGGTTTTTTCTCTGTCAATCCTTTCCCGAAACGATGTTTTTACGAACTTTGTCAGCTTATATCTCAGAACCTAAGCATACAAAACTTTTTAAACGTAACATATTTGTTATTATTGTCCTCCCTAAATCGAAGCCAATGGATCGAATTGTCACAACCGGCGTTCGGTTAAATTCGTCTCCTCATAATGGTGCTCTCCCTAGTCTAGTCGAGTCGAGAGTCCTTATTTTATTCGAACATCTGCCGGTTGGGCGGGAGGTAGCCTGCCGGAGAGCTGAAACTCCTTTAGCTTTAGCGCGATCAGCGCCAGTCAGTTTCTCACAGTCGCCACGAGTAGAAGGTGCCAAAGCGCCGCCTGACAAAGAACCAGTAAACCTCGTGCGTGCATCGAAGAAGAAAGAACTTTTCGTCCATGTGTGTGCGGGAAAAAAGTTATGTTCTGTGCTATCTTTCTTTGGTTTCTCGGTTGGTTTTTGTTTGATTTGTGGGTTTTTATGTTGCTTCTGTTTTAATAAGTTGATGTAAGTACTAGTCGCGAATTTTTCAATTATATTGTGCTTTGTTTTCGTTGAACAACGGTCGTACGTGATTCATCGAGTTCCAGCTATGACAATGGATTATTTTGAATGAGTGCTGGATAACGGAAAAAAGTAAATAATTTTTGTGGTATTTTTGGTGTGGATTTGTTCTTTTGTTTGCTTTTCTTTGTTTCCGCACTAACAAAAGATTAACAGTATTATAGGTAGGTATCCCAGTTGGAATCGTTTCGTGATGGAACTATGTCAACTATAACCTCAAATTTGTAACCTTCAAAATATGCTGATATTTAACTTCTTTGTGGTTACCTATCTGAAATTTGTGGATTGGCATTTAAACCTCGCCTCGCATTTAACAGAGAGAGTTGTTTGGAAGTGGAATATAAGATGAGCTACTAGAACTACTGGTAATTTTGCACTTATCATGCGATGTTTTTTTTTCTTCGAAAATGTGACGTATTTTTGTCTGAAAAACGAGAATTTGATAATGAAAATTTGAAAAACCATTATTCATTGATAAATTCACTGCCTGTAAAGTTACCTATTTCACCTTCTTTTCCCCGCCTGTCTTTTGGATCGCATTTAGACAATTTGTCCTTCTTTTTTCATCATTGGACAATTTATATATCACGATGTAGCTAATTCTATGACGAAGTGTCCAATGACAATAGGTATAAGAAGAGCAAGAAGCTGTAAAAGCATCCAAGACAAGGGAGAAAAAGAAGGAGAAATTTCAAACTTTTTCTTGAAGTATCTCGATAAATAGTAGTTTGTTCACACTTTCATTATCAAATTCGTGCTTTTCAGACAAACATACGTTGGTAGGAAAAAATGTTTTCGAAGAAAAAACCATCTGCAAAATTACCGGACTGCTTAGTCTCATTTTGAATAGGTAGATTATGAATCATGCCTACCTCCTGACTGTCTTGATCCTTGATTCCTATACCTACGTATAGTTATTAACTAGGTGTCTTGGATACAATTGAACAAAGCATCAGATAACAACTAAAAGGTGACCATTCATTTACTCTAGTGAAGATTCTCTCAGAACCAGACTTCTACTCAACAGGACTTTGAAATAGAAAAATCAGTATGTATTACACAATCAATATAACAATAAATATAACTAATAAGTTATGGTGTAAACTGAAATCCAGCAATAAATTTTGATTCCATTTATTATTCGATTCAATTGTTAACACAATACTTGCATTTGGCAATTGTTAATTTATTTGGGAATTAATTACCTAATTGACTCGTTATTGATATTGATTGTCATAGTGGTCAGGAAACGGCTCTGGAATTACGCATATGTACGAGTAGGCATATAAAAAATAAGTCAGCGTCAATTATTAATTGTTCTGATATCACCCAGATATCACAAAGGCCGGCATTGTTTTCAAAGAAAGTTGACAGTATTATAATAGACACAAAGCACTGCATTGCATGTATTTTTCTCTGTGTACGTACCTATATGACTTTGTCTCATTTAATTTTATTAGTTTGTTCAGTGCATAATATGCTTATCATGTACGTAGGTACTGAGGTAGGTACCTTCAAGGTGGTTATCTCATATCTGATAACTGGGGTGGTCACTGGTCAGGTCAAACAAAAGTGTTGATGAATTAGGTAGGTAAATAGCTTATCTTTCCTTCATCATGTGAAGTACACCTTCACTTTTCTCCAGTTACAATAATGATGAGATTTCGTGAAGTTCTCGTTCGTTGAAGTTTTTTTTTAATCGATTGGAGCGCACGAAAGGGAATCCCTATAATGTTCAAAGAACATCGTGCGTTCCTAGGGAGGATAGGGATTTTTTTTTAATTTTTGGAGATTATATGTTGTTGGGAATACTTCCATAGGCAATGAATTCCAGAGCCTAGCCGTTCTATGGATGAAGGAGTCTTGATAAAGTGCTGTTCGACATCTTTCGAGGTTGACAACGAAAGGATGTGCTGACTGGGCTTGTCTAGTTCTTGTTGAGTACCTACCTCATTATAGGCATGAATAAAGTATCTTAGGACACCAACTTGATGACGTTAAGTCATTGTTAATCATTCCCTGTAATCTCTTCCCCCTTAGAATTCGCTTATAGCACCGCCCTTGGCAGTCATGGATTTCAATTTTTGACTCGATTTTCGATGAATGCCTTTCAAGGTGTGCTTTCGATGGCTATCGAAGGTCTTGCCCACGAAACGAAATTGATTACGTTGTCTGTCATCGTTCTCGGTTTCGTGGTTGGAACCATTACGCCATGCAATATTATCAATCATCGACCGTAACCGGTCTTATCTATTTTTTTTTAATGTGAAAATTCGACAGATGTTTTTGGCAGCTGCGTGAACGGACGTTAGTCGCGCCCCGAAATTATCGTGCCTCGGTATTAAATCATTGTTTTCGAACCTTGACGGGATCTCATATTTAACAAAAATCGACTGAATGAAAATTATTGGTGGCGATGGTTTGCCGTGTTAAGAGGGGTTTAACCCTATGAGCGATCATTGGGGAAACAAGGAACGGCAGAAATCAAAATACTCGGAGCTCGCTGAATAAATTCAAGATTTTTTTTCACGGATCGTTTCTAGAAGGTTGGATCTAGGCATCTCTCGGAGTACTTTTTCAAAATTTTGAAAAAAAGTAGTCGAAAAAAATTCCAGAAAATTGACCAGATTCACTATTTTTTTTCTCCCTAGGTATATATTTTTTTTGAAAAGTACTTCGAGAGATGCCTCAATTATACATTTATCTTCGTTGTCAAAAAAATTCGCAAGGATCCATTCAAAATATCACCATCAAAAGTGATTTTTGCTGGACCTCTGCAGACGCAATTTAGAATCATTTTTCTCCACTGATACGAGCGCCCTCACACGAATATGCACTTCTACATGGATACTATGAATGGTTGAATGAATAGTGAATTCATTCATAAAAAGTAGCACTGACGATATTCAGAAAATTTTAGCACTGGAGATGAAACCAAAAGAAGTTTTAGATGGGTTGATTGAATTTTTGAATACGACGTATAGGTACGTTTATTAGGTAACCCATATAATAAAAATACGTATGGTTTGTAGGTAGGACCCCAATTCCAATTTCAAAATGCGAATATAAGGAATGCCAGAAGTTCCATCATATTTATTCTAGGTAATAACTGGTATTATATAATATACGAGTTACATATATTTTAATATTCTTGTCAACATTAAGAATTTGCCTTCTGGAAATAGATAAACAGAGAAATCTCTCATTGAAGAATAATAGTTTCGCTCCAGGTGACTCACCCAATTAGATGATAAAAGATTGAACATGTTTGGCAAGCGGTAAGCGATGGACATAAAGGCGGTGAGCATAAAAGCGGCAGACATAAAGGGTCCGAAAATCCTGGAATTAGTGTTATACACGGGTGATTGGAATATTGTTTTTGTTCAGTTTACTTCAGTATTCCGGCAGTGACATTTGCGTTTTTCAATATTTGTGCATTATTTGTATGAGCAAAAGTTATAATGTCGAGAAGTAATTATCGAACTGGTAATAAATACCGCAGAAGACAGTCTGTCAAATAAACCTCGCAATGATGAATGTTGGCAAAATAAAATGTAATCGAAATAGTGGATAGTAGATTTGAATATGGAGATTACAAATTGAAGTTGTTCCTGTAATATGTACAGAGTGTCTCAGGTTTAGCTCGTCTAACTTTTTTGTTTTGTCGTGGAGACACTTGTTTTCTTCATACGGGGTGTTCGAGGTCGCATGAATTTTTGGTTTTTATTTTTTATTCTTGTTGAAACCAAACCTAGAGATTTGACATTTGGTAAGCACTTTTCTATCTGTTTATATATGAACTGTTCTTATCCTTCTTAGTTTCCTTGTTATTCGAAATAATGTTACACCTACTATTCATAACAATTTTATAACCTAAATGTTTATCTTACATCAAATTATCATTCGAATTGAATATTGAATGATTCACGTACACGAAAGATATTGAAACAAATGAAAAACACAAAGTGTGGTGAAGAAATAATAATGATTTTTCATTAGCTTCGATCCACCCACTAGCGTCCCAATAAAAAAAATCTGACGAGCTCCATGTCAGAGGGCTCGAAAAAGAATAACATCGTTACTCCCATTGGGGGTGATGATAACACCCAGTTTTTTCAATGGATAAGGACTGTTCATATTGCCGATAGAAAAGTGCTCACCAAATTTCAGATCGCTAGGTTTTGTGTCAACTGAGACAGAAATTAAAAACCAAAAATGTATGCGAACCTTTACACCCCGTATAATTAAAACATGTTTCTCCATGACAAAACAGAAAAATACGTATCTAATATTTTGAGTTTTGCTATCGATTGTCAAAGTTAGACCAATTAAACCTGACGTTGTTTATTACACAATATAAATTCTGTTTACACAAACCAAAAATTCCACTCATGTAATAGTTATTTTTCTTCCCCTGTAACAATGCATTTTGATATTCCATTTGCATTTGTCTTCAATCAATAAATCATGTATAGGTGAGTGCAAGCCATTCGAATAGCAGTATTTTTCTGTAAAAATTCCCCTTTCGGTTTTTCCCTATCTTGAACTGTTTTTGCTGCCTTTCTATTATTCAGATTCGTACTTTCGAATTATATTTTTGCAGTTGAGTTTATACATACCACTAATTTATGCTCATATAGGGTGGTATACCGGGTATATTCTTTTGAAAACTTCTCACCCCTACAATGTCATTTAACATTTTTGAGGGGCTGGCGGCTGGCATCAGTGAAGGTAAAGGGGATGAAACGAGCAAGGTGATTTTTACGTGAAAACATATTATGTCCTCCTCATAGTTATTAGTGTAGCGGGACACAAGGTGAAAGTAATCAAAAAAATTTTGGAAGTAAAAAGATATCAGACCCTCACTATCCTATCTATAGAAACAATTGACTACTTTTTTCTATGGTACCAAAAAAAGTTACACTACACTGTTTTACCACTAA